AAATGCTTTGGTAAATCTTATTTTATCATATTTCGTTTTGGGAATAAATTCCGCAACTCTTTTAATCAAAAGATTACTCTGAAATTATTTTAAAAGCATAAATTAAACCGGTCTTTTCTAGCCGTGAATTTGGGGATGTCACAGGTACCGCCGGTACCGGTACTATTACCGAAAACCGGTACCGGTACCGTTGATGTTAATTCTGTTCAGTATTCGGGATTGACTTTCGACCAAATCCGGTTTCGGGAAATCGGGAATGGTACGGGTCGGTACCGGTTCCGTCCCACGCTCATCCCTACATCCATTGCATAATAGTTTGGTCTTTTTCATCGGGTCATGACACAGTAATAACCAATAATTAATATTTGAGGAGGTTTGTCCATTGCAGTGTGTCTGATCAACTAGAGTTAGAGGGTATTGATGACTCATGTGTTTTAGGTAATCGTCTACCTTATGATGATGATCGGTTTGTTGGAAAAACAAGTGTTTTGGTAGGCTGTATGTGTCATCCGGGAATGGGAGATGAAGAAGATGATGATGGTCAGCATCTTTGTAATTTTTAAGGGTTTTGCCAAGGCCTGATAAAATTGGAAATTGACAACAAGGTTGGTTAGTAGATCTCAAATAATGCCACATATAATAATTCATTTAAATGAAAGCAATCATATATAAAAGGATTAATTATTAATTAATTACTAGAAGGAGACAAGAAGATGGACATGAATGGCTCTCTCCTTAATGCCGCACAATCCACATGAGCATAGTACATGCACTTATCACATTTGTAAATCCAAAGATCCACCAAATCATAAAAACTATCACCGCATACTCTGCATCTAGGAAAATATTTATCAAATTGATCTTTTCTTGAAAAAAAATATGAAATTGTGGATGAGTATGATAAAAAGCACCATCAGCTCTCTCTTGGATGAACAACTTTTTTGGTAGGAAAGCACAATCATTATGTATGGTGAAGCCAACACAAGTAGTACATTGGTAGAAGATGCCTTTATGCTCCTTCCCACATGCACTACACTCGCATAATATGGGCTTACGGACAGCACACATTAGCAAGTGAGGGTGGCAAGGATAATGGATCACATTTTTTCCTACCTCCGAGGCACATTTGAGATCAATGGAGAAATCACATTTACCACATTGGTAAAACAATTCTCCAAGCTTTTGATCTCTCTTACAATTATTGCATATTTGATAATATGAATGATATGTCTGAGTATGTGATGGGTGTGAGGGGTGCTCTAACGTTGACGGGAGCTCACCACAAAATTTGTGAAGTGAGAAATCATCACATATGGTACATGTGTAGTAGTACCTATGGTACATATGGATTTCTTCCATACACCTCTCACATGTGACACCTTGAAACCCCTTTCTTATAATTGGATCACCACCCTCATCGACATCTTTTTCTTCTTCTTCTTCATATTGTATTTGTAGCTGCAAATCAATGAGCTTTAATGGATGCTTGTGTTCATATACTTCAAGCACTGCCTCCATTATAATTATATTTCTCTCTTTGGGATGATGATGTTAGTCTCCTAATCTTATTTATGACGAAGGTGTATATTTGTAGCAAATTTACCAAACACCAACGGGCTTCCTTTTTCCATTGTTTACATTAGTTTATCTTTTGCTTTTTTGTTTTTCACTTTTCCTTTTTCAAGAGAAGAAATCAATGAAGTTTTGTAGAAAGTGTTTTCTCATAGTAATTTAATTTGCTTTAACTAATTGACCGACCGAGTTCCCCTATTTGCCCCTTATAATATGCAATTGCTGGTATTGTAATCACTTTATATCAAGCAATTACATAATTTAATATGTATTTTATGAATGCTTTAAACATCAGTTGGTAAAAAATAAATATGATAATGTAATGTATGGACATTTTTTTCTCAAAGTCTTCATTATTCTATACTCAGTTTCATTTTTTGTTTTTGTTTTTGTTTTTTGAGTTTAATACGTAACGAATAAACACAATTGTAACACACAAAAGCATGGCTCTTTTCCTTAATTTCTCTATAACTTTAGTACCACCTCTCCAATAAGCAAATGAATATGTCCCAGTTTTAAGTTGAATGCTAATCTTTATTTATTAACTGGTATAGAGTTTAGAGTTGATTCATTTGATTTAATTGAGTTTAAAACAACCCATAGTCTTGGTGGAGTTGACTGTTGTTGAAAGAAACTCACATGAATTTCCAGATGATTACTCATACCTTCATGCATGCAGATCAAGTGTGTTAAACAATATTTGATTTTAAACTCAAATGAAATCGTTTTGCAAACTCTTGTTCATTGGCACCACACACAGCACAAAAAATTAATCTTAAAAAAAATTGGTGATCAACTTATCTGTGTATTATGTATTTAAGCTAGGGATTTTGCATTGAGTTTTAACCTAATTTTAAAATTACTCAACATGTGCCCATTAGTGCATCTTTACAGAGTGATGGATCGAGTATTATAATGCCTAGAAAGTTATACAATTTATCTCATTCCCTATATTTTTCTTACACTGCATCATCACAAAAGACAAAAACAAATTATGTACTTATATGCTATTTTTAATATATTAAATTTCTATTTTGAAATTCAAAAGAAAATAGGCATTTCATCAAACAGGATATGTGCATGCATATAGAATCACAAACATGTTCAAAAGCTAAAATTAAACTAAATTGGATTGGAATGTGATATATAGAAAGAAAAAAAGACAAAACATACCTGGATAGGGTTCTTCAATAATGCTTCAGCTTCGATTTTTCGTTCTTCTACCAATAAATGTGGATAGGTGCTTGAGGATGGGATGAGCAAAATCCATAATCGAAAAAATGTATTATGTTTTTTTTGAATTTTCAATTTAAAGGAACGTAGAAACTTTTTATGTAATGCACGCTGTATAGTGTTTTTCTCTCTCGGAATAACCAAACTTCACAAGCATACATCACGTCATAAATTGTTAAGTCCCGAGTTAGGTTTGTTACCAGATAAAATTTACATGATACTCATTAAGCTTTTATATTATGAAGATTGTAACGTTGTGTACATTGTGGTTGTGAAGGATTATAACTTTATGTTTCGAATGCAATCAACCAAGTAGCCTCAACCTTAAAAGTATTCCAAAATTTTGAAGACTACGAAAGCACTGATAGAAAGTATTCCAAAATCTTAACAACGACATATATAAAGGTGTGCTTGTTTGTTATTATTCGTCTTGAAAGGCTAAATAAAATAATACATATAAACTCCTTTGAAAATAAGAAACCCAAACAAAAACAATAAAGGCGATGAATAGTTAACTACTTCATATATAGTTATAGAAAGTTGGTTGAAACGAAAACACTATATATGAATTAATAGTTAACTGCTTTCATCATTATAAATAAAGTTTGACTTGCTAAGATTGAACAAAAAGATTGCAAGAGTTTATTTAGGATGCAATCAGTAACTTAAACTGCACATAGTATCAATTTACACATAAAAGAGGGAAAAATACAAGTGTAATGACAATTAAAAATCTTATTGTGTTTAGAAATATATGGAAGATACACCAAGAACTTCATGCCTTGATAAGACGCTCACAACAGACATAATCGATTACAAACTTACACTCAAGACATTTAAAGATCATATTGTACTGTAATCCATCACCACACATACTACATTGACCATCCAACACAGTACCTTGAGCAAATGAGAGAGGGTGTGGATGACTATGAGTCTTATGAATGCCTCCAAACTTGATGTTCACTGCAAGATGAACACCTCCCCCAAACTTAATATAGGTCTCCGTCTCGCACTCAAGTATTAATGAAGCACAAGACGTATGTACAGACTGAGCACAATCTTTACAATGATAGAAAGATGCATGAGGGTTCAAATCCCCCTCACAAATTTCACAAAAGTATTCACTCTTATGGTTCTCAATTGGTTGGTAACTTAGTTGCATTGGGTGCTCGTCATACTTGTGCCTGATTGCCTCGGGTATTAAGAAAGCACATCTAGAATGCATGAAAAATCCACACCAGTCGCAACAGAATAAAAACGGACCTTCAGAGGTATTAAGGTGACACATATTACAAAGCGGAGCACGAGATCCTTCTCGACTTATTGAAAGAATGTGATTCGGGTGGAGTTTATGTGAGATTTGTTTAGGCATAAACCCACAAGTAACATCAACATAGTATCCACATTTGACACAACCATAAGCAAATCCGTTGCAAAATAGATGACAAACATTACAATAGAACATACCGAAAAAGAAAGGATGGGCATGTGAGTACATAAGAACAAGGGTATGGTATGGGTGAACAGGGTGGTTTTGTATTTCTATGGGGAGTCGAGTGCACCACTCATGGAGAGCAAAGTTGCAACCCCCTTGAATCTGATCATCATTAGCACATACATAAAATGGCATGGTTGCCGTGATTGGTTTGAGGCATCCATCGCATAGCAGTTGGGTCTTTTTCATTGGGTTATGACACTTTAATAACCAAGAGGAGGATGTTAGCCCATTGCTCTGTGCGTGATCAACTAGAATCAGAGGGTGTTGATGACTCTTGTGTGTTAGGTGATCTGCCTTATGATCATCGCTTGTTCCAGTTTCTTGGGAAAACAAGTGTTTTGGTAGGCTGTATGTTTCATCAGGGAATGGGAGATGAAGAAGAAGACCAGGATGCTCATAATTGTAATCTTCCACTTCAAATTGTCTGATAGTTCCTGATAAATTAGAAATGAAATAATAGGGTAGGTTAGTATATATATATCTAGAGAGATAATCATTAAATGATAAGGAAAGCAAAACAATCTTAAAAATGATTTAATTACCAATAGGCCTGACAGATGTTGATGTAGCGCAGCCGGCATGAGCATAGTACAAACATTTATCGCATTTGTAAATCCAAAGATCCTCCGTAGCTACAAAATCACGACTGCATACTCTGCATTTGGGATCATGTTTAGCTTTTTGATCTATCAAGGGGAAGGAATATGAAACGGTGAGTGGATGAATATGATCAAAAGCATGATTTGTGGTGTGTTGGATTAGCAATTTTTCTGGTAGAAAAGCACAATCATTGTGTATGGCGAAGCCAGAACAAATGGTACATTGATAGAAGATGCCTTTATGTTCCTTTCCACACGCACTACACTCGCATAAAATGGGCTTAGGGAATACACACATTAGCAAGTGTGGGTGGGAAGGATGATGGATGATCTTTTTTCCTACTTCCACACCACAATTTACATCAATGGGAAAATGACATTCAGATTGAGAACAATCGTAACACATTTCTAGAGGTTTGTGAAGGCACTTACAAATACGACATGACCAATCACCATCCATCTGACGTTGGATAAGAGGGTGTCGGTGTAATGTGTGATCCAACCTTGTTGACAGCTCAGCACAGAATTTGTGAAGCGAGAAATCACATTCACATGATGATGATGATGATGATGATGATGAATCACCCCCCACACATTTGTAGTAGTATCTGTGGTACATATGGATTTCTTCCCTACACCTCCCACATGTGACACCATGAAATCCCTCATTCGTAATCATATCACCACCCTCATCATCGTCGTCATCATCATCATCTACTTCTTCTTCTTCTTCATAGTAGAGTGGATACTCTAGCTGCAAATCGATGAGCTTTAGTGGATGCTCGTGTTCTGGTACTTCAAGTGCTTCCATTATAATTTTATTTCTCTCTTTAAGACTATGATGTTAGACTCATACTCTTATTTATAACAAAGAAATAGAATATATGTGTGCCAAATTCACAAAACCAAGTGGGCTTTTTTTTCTTATGTACTACTGTTTATCTTTTGCCTATTTATGTTTTTCACTTTTCCTTTCCAGAAAAAAAAAACCGGTGCAGTTTTTTAAAAGCAGTTTCTCATTGTAATTTAATTTGCTTAAAGAAATTTACCAATCAAGTTTCCTGCAAAAACATAGTATAACTCTTTTCCTTTTTCTTATCTTTAGTACCACCCCTCTAATAAGTAAGGAATAAGTCCCAATTTTAAGTTGTACATTAGTCTTGTTTTATTAATTAGAGGTTTTATGTTTTATTAATTAAGGAATAAACACAATTGAAACAAAAGGAAAAGCAAAAGCATAACATAACTGTCCTCTTTTTCTTAACTTAATTACAGGGTTTATGTTTTGTTCTCTTTTAAGCTGTACATTAGTCTTGTTTTGTAAATTAGAGGTTAGAGTTGATTTATGTGATGTCATTGAGTTTAAAACAACCCAAAGTAAATTGGTTGAGCTGACTGTTGAAAGATCTTATATGAAATCTTTTTCCTTTTATCCGTAATCAGAATCAAAACACAAATGATTTGCATAGCTTTAGATGTTAACAACATTGTAGTAATGTTCAGTTTTTAAGGTCCTATAAAATATGCAAGCAAGCCAGCAGAAAAAGTAGAGGATAAAACAATATATAGTCAACCACACCAAACTGCCAATCAACTCTAAGCCTAACAAAACATATGTTTATGGGCACATTTGTCTTTAGGGTTTTAGTATTTATTCTTTTCCTTTGTTTTGTAACCTTCATACTCTTCTATGAAGAACACTAGCACTTTCTCTTATTATCAATGAATTATATGAATGTTGTTCTATTATCATTTTCTTCTATACCTATCACCATGTTAAAGACTACTCATGTACAATCAATCACCTTGAAAATTGTTTTTGTATTACAATTGTGTAATTAGTTACAAAATTCAGCTTCAAACAAATAATTTTGTGTGGGATTGACACTCAATCCACCAGATTAGATTCATTCAGGACGACTATAATACATTGATGGACATGTCATCCCTTGTTTTCACAAAAGACATAAATGCCCCTCATCCCCATCTAGTCTAGTCATGTGTAACAAAGGCAGAATTAGACATCTTTGGATGTCTCGTATGTTTTTCTTAATTTCTTTTGGGAGTTCAACTAAGGACAATCCCATGAATGATTATCCTGATAATGAAGAGGAGGAGGAAGAAGAAGCAAGTGAAAGTTCTCATGAAAATTCAGAGCGAATCTTCAATTTTCCGTATTATTGTATATTTATGTATTTGTATATTTGTATGCATGTGTGCATGTATGATTGGGTGTGTATAAATCCAATCAACTGCAAACACAAAAAATAAAATACATCCATTCAACCAATTAATTTCAACATATTAGTCCATAGTGAATAAAAAATAAAATATATATCTATTCAAGTGTTGATAAAATATCTATTAGAGTAAACTTACATATAGCAAGTAGCAACCACCCACATTGCCACAAAACCAACCTTTGTTTTCTTTTTCTGAATGAGCAGGTATATATAGTCATCGATCATACAACTGACAGGAGCTATAAATTTTGCCCTATTTAATAAAATCCTTAAAAATACTAAAATACAAATAATAGTGCAGTCACTTATTAAGAAAACTAAAAACAAAGGGACTAATAGCTTAATTTGAAAATGATTTTTTTTAAACGAATATAATAAGTTATACAAGTCCATCACTATTTTCCACAAAGACATAAGCAAAAATATGAAAAACTTCTGCAAAAATGTCCGAGTTTTTTAAATGCATTGTTTCATTGAGGGGTATGCAAGTATAACTCCGATTCTAAAACCAAGTCACCATGGTTACAAATACTAAGAACTCGGAAGGCAAACTGCTAGAGGTCAGAAGTTCATACTTCATATGATAGTTGACCAAAACACAACAAGCTATTCCCCCGAAAGGTTGTAAATAGATTAATAGATTCATAGATTTTATTATTATTATTATTTTTAATCTCAGGGTAGTTAAAAGAATATATATAATATAAAGTGGATTCTTTCCTGTAATGGTTTCTACCCAGGACCAAGGATTTTCTGATCAAATTATCAAATATATCAACCATGTGATGTTAATCAATAACAACTAGTAAACCTAACTATAAAACTTCTCTTGCAATGGAATCTGAATTCCTTTTTGTAAGAGATAGCTTCATCTTTCATTGAGAAATATAGTATATATATTCAAGTTCGGTAATATGCATAAAAGGAAGAAGAATTACCAAAGATGGCATGAGAGACATTTTTAGACTTTAGAGGATGTATATACTCCACCAATTCCGCATTGGATACTTTCAATCCCTCCAATGATGTAGCTGTTAGCTGAAACATCAAAACCCTAAACAGAAATCATAAACCCTAGTTTCCATAGTTTGACATTACATCGATGATCGAATTTAATGTCTATATTTCGGCTCCAAAGGGTGCGGGCTGGCTTAAATGGGTCACATTTCATTGAGTATTCGGGACATTAACGCCTTTGTTTATTGGGAAAGTTATAATGCTCTGTTTCCTTTGTTCTTGTTGAATCATTCTCAGTAATAATGTATACACCAATCTATGTTCTTAAAGATCATCATATCACCCACCTCAATCACTAGAAGTGTGTAGATATACACAAACCTAAAACAAGATAAAGAGAATAAGCATTATGTCTTTTATCATTTTTTTTAATGGTTAACTAGGTTTTATAGGGATGATTTTTTATATAGTAAATTACATTAACCATCCTTCGTTCAAATTTCAAAAAAATGTTTAAATATTATTTTTAAAAATTATTCGGACTATCCCTGTTTGTTTAAAACTTGCACATTCCGTCCATAGACATGATTAACCATATTGTCCTTTTCATTTATTTTGTATTTATTTGTTATTTATTAATTATCTATTGATTTTTTATTTTCAAAAATATTTATTTATTGTCTTTAACAAAGAAATAGGCCCTAAACCATAAGCATCCTTCATAACAACAACCCCCCCCCCC